GCTCCCTCTTTCACTCCTGTGTGGAGACCTCTGTCTTCATGCTTTGCAAGTTGCTTTGCAAGTCAGCTGGGCTGAGGCTAAGGCAGTGAGGAGAGGATCCTTTACTAGAGGGACTGGACCTCTAGTGAAGAAGTATCAGCACTTCCACCATCCTTGCAGGGTTTGTTAGAATGGACTTGCAGGTCCTGGCAGAAAGGATACTGTCTTGTAGCCCAGGAACTAGTTTTAAGGCTGGCTGGAGCTGGAGGATGGAAGCTGGACATAAGGGTTGTTTCTGATGGAGGCCTGAAAAGGATGGGTCTATGTGTATATGGCAGCAGGACAGATGGTCTTTGAGACTACCCCGTCTTGGAAGGTCACCCAAACACTGGTGAGATTCTGTGTTTCTGGGTAGGTCTAAACACCAGCCTACCCACTCACAACTCTGCCCAGAGAACGGGCACATCAGTCTTTGGGGCAGCTTTGATTTTGCAGCTTGCTTGCTCTACGTGAGGCTCCCAGCCTGGTCTCCCGTGTCCATGCACAGAGATGGCAGTGGTGTGTTCTCCCACAGTGCCCCAGCAGAACATGCCAGGGGGCTACTGCTGCAAACTGCACACACCACACGAGCAGGAAGCAGCCTGACCCACCACTCGTGCCCACCAGGCTGGGGGGTCACTGAGAGAGAACATTTCCTTGCCCTGACACCCACCCTGCAGCACAAGCATAGTTTAGATGTTATTGAGTACCTGGAAGTCATAAAGCCACCAGCCAAGTGCCAGACTCCTCTCAAGACAAAATCATAAATCCTTTCATGCACAGAAGAATATCCACTGAGATTTTCAGGCCTTTTTCATGTTGAAAGTATGCACAAATCCTCCTGGAGAGCTCTTGGCACGTTGGCATCCAACCAGAAGCAGGAACGCCACAAGTCACCGCGATGCTCGCTTATGCAGGCTGAGCAGCAAGTGACCTGTCACATCATGCTGGTGGGTTACCCTGGGACAAAGATGGTTGGGGACACAGCAATGCTGAGACCCCATAAAGCCAACCCCCCCTGACGAGCACACTCTACCCAGGGCTGTTTATTGTTTGCACTTAAAGACATCCATCAGCTGAGACAAGCCAGCTCTCACCATGCTCTGCCCACAGCAGGGTCTGAGACCTCAACACCTCTGGTGCCCTTAGGCACATGGACACCACATGCCCGGTGCTTGTGTCAGGCTCATCAGCCCGTGGGTGCTGGGGCTGCCTCTTCTGTGCTGAGGGGCAAGGGCACTGCAGAGCCCCCAGCATACTGAAGTGGGGTTAACAGACCTTCCAGGCACCAGGAATCCCAGGAGATACACAAAGCAGGGGAGCATCACACCCAGCCCATCACCACGTCTGCAGCAAGGGGCTACAGCAGCGTGTGGTGGGACTTCACTGCCCATCCTCTGCTCGGGCAAGTTCATGTCACTGATACCACTGCACAGGACGCGTTGGTGGCCAGTGCAGGGCAGGACCCCTCTCGCTGCAGGGCTCACTGTGTGCCAGCAGCCCCATGGTGCTCTCACCCCAGCTCCTGCCTATGGACAGGACCCCACAGAGGTGGAGGGCAGGAGGGTGCCAGGAAGTGCCGAGCAGTGTTAGGGCTGCTTCTGAGCGATGATGTCCCGGATGCAGGTGTACAGGAACATGTACTGGTCCTGGAAGACAGAAAACAGGCTGGAGCCAGGCTTCTGGCAGACACCTCTTGCTTGCAGACTAAGCCTGCAATTTGCCTTAAAAGATCCTAATTAACCCAGAGTGTCTGGTGGCAGAGCAGGATGCGCTCTCCCAAGTGATCTATGTTTGTCCTGTATCACCAGAGTTGCTGAGAAAGGAAGAATCGGGCCTGGAATCATAGTTCCACCACATTTGTTTCCTCTTGCTTCATCATCCCCATCTGAGAGGGGGAGGAACAATGCCATCTGCCTTCCTCAAAGTGCTCCAGCGGCTCTTGGACATGCCATGCATGGTGTTTGCATCCGAAACAAGACTGAAGAGCAATGCAAGTGATGCTGCAGGACAGCAAGCAGGGAGAGCTCTGCCCTGCCGGCGTGCACAGCGTCTGGCAGTGACCTGAGGCCAGGAGGAAGACCTCTGAGCAGGAGTTTCCCTTGGTGGCAGCCTCAGTGCACCCAAGTCAAGTGCTGACAGTGGGTCAGGGTCGATCTCTGCAAGCTCTGAGGCAGACAAGAAGTTTTGCTCCAATGCCAGGCTGCTCCAAAACGATGCTCGGCTGCAGAACCCCCGGCACTGACCCACCACCACGGCAGGGCTTGGTGAGAAGCAGGACGTGGGAAAGGTGACTGAGGCTGTACTCAGGGCTGGAGGGCAGGGCCAGCCTGCAAATGCTGTGGGTCAAAATCATGTGGCAGCCAGGAAGGGGGAATTAGGGCCTTGACAAGGGACCTCCAAACAGCTCGCTAATGCGCTGGCTAAGCTGCAAGTCACGAGGAGCCTCCTCCTGCCGGCTGGGAAAGCCACTGAAGGGCTGGGAAAGCCACAGATCACACAAAGTCTGTGGGTGCAGGTCACCGGCAGTGTGTTTTCAATGATCCTGGCCTGATTGTGGCATCTGGAGTGACATCCCAGGATTGACATCAGGCACACTCAACGCCTGGCCAAATGCAAGAAGGAGTATGTTCCCAGAGACACACACCATGCTGGAACTGGGGCTGCTTAAATACCCAGTGGTCATCCATGGACAATCCCTCATCTTCCCCCTTGTTTGGATACTAAAGCTGCCTCTGCTTCCTCCCCTCTGTGGGGCAGTGGCTTTTGAGGGGCACATTGTGTCCCTGCTCAGCAAGACTGCTGCCAAAACACAAAGCAGCTCTGAAGCAGGGGCTCTCCTCCAGCTCCCACCGTGCTCAGGGCTCACATTAGTTAAGCACACGATCAGCTGCCGCAGGCAGCGCTGCAGTGGGGAAGCCCCAGAGAGATCTGCCCCACTTCTGCTGTCCCCTGTGGGGAGGGTTTCATGGGGTGCTGCATCAGCTTGTTCAGTGGCCACAGCAAATGAAAGCACTGTCCAGAGGGCATCTGTGCCAGCAGTGCCCATCAAAAGCAGCACGCTGCATGCCTGCGAGGCTGGGCTGGCGCAGCACATCCATGGCACCACCAGACAGTGCCACAGCCCACGTGGCTGCAGGGCAGCTGCAAACACGGCAAGGTTTGGCACTAGGATAAAAGCTCTTCCCTGGGAAAAGATGATGCCCTTTAGTGGCTGGCAGAGCTGGATGGGGAGGGAGCATGGAATAAATCCCTGCATAGGCTGGATCGGCTCCCCCGTTGGCAGGTAGCACCTGGGGGGTGGGCAGTGTGCTGCCAGCCCCAGGCAGCCCAGCAGGACTGTTCTGTTCCCAACCCACCACCCTTCCTCCTTCCCACCTACCAGCGTCGGGGTCATGAGGCAGCAGCTTCTCGACACCTGGAGGGTCACGCCATAGACATCCACGGTTCTCTCTGCCTTCATCTGGTGCAACAGGCAATCCAGGGAGATCAGCGTCCCCATTTGGCTCACGCCACCACTGCAAGGGACAAGGGAGGGTCACTGATGTCAAGCCAGGCTGAGCTGAACCTCTGTGGAAGTGGGCACCAGCCCAAGAAGCCATAAGCTCCATGAAAAGGACATGCAGCAGCTGGGTACGGTGGGGACAGAGCACTGTGAGCACTGGTGGAGGTGGCAGGGAGGCCTTTGCTGACGTGGGAGATGGGACCCCGAAGTGCCCATTGAAGAAGCCTGGAGGATCCAGCCTACCCTGCCCTGCCGAGCTGTGCATCCCTCACCCAAGCTGATACGCACCGAGGGCTGCTCCCTGGCAGTCAGCCCAGGGCTTGGTGGTGGCCATGGCAAGGTGCTGTGCAGCCTGGTGGGTACCAGCTCTGGCAGGATGCCCATGGATGGAGCAGTAACGTGATGTACCTGCAGTGCAGCAGGAGAGGACCGGCTCTCTTTCGGTGGGGCATGCACCGTGTGACAGCAGTGAGGAGCTCCACCAGGCTCTGGACATCTGGCTGCTTCTTGCTGCTCCAGAGCGTGTATAGGAACTGTTGTACCTGCCTCTCCTTCGCTTTCTTCTCCTGGTGAGATGTAAAGAGTTGACATGTCTGTTAGGGAGGGATGGGTGAGTTTAGATGCACAGGGGACCCAGCTCCCCAGTCCTTAGGCTGTCACATGCTTTCCTGAGCTCTAGCCTCTATAAAGATGTCCAGTCTCTGCTGAGGCACTGCCCATCACTTGCGCAGGGGGAATGGTGCCTCCTTCCCTTCCTTCCTGACCTGCCTCTTGAGAGGGAGACCGACAACTGTGTGGGCCTTCTCAAAGCAGGTCAGACAGAGCTACCAGCAAGGGGTAGCAGGAACCTCCAGGGCCTCTCTTGTGCATCTCCTATGTCCATGCAGCTTAAGTTGCAGTCCAGATTCCCTCCTGCATTTGTGAACTGCCAGCACTCTGCTCTTGCAGCTCAGACAAGTCTCTGTGGACCTTTCAACCCTTGCCCCTACAGACCTCCTCACTAAGCAGTGAAGAACATCCAAGCAGTGGGAGCCAGGCCAGCCCCATTAAAACATACATGCTTCATTTTGAGCTGGATACACCTCCATCCAGACACGAGCTTCTCTGTGCCACACTGGATGTTCAGCATCTTTGTGCAGAGAGAGTCTCCTTCCAGGGGCCAGCACATGTCATTTGGGACCTGTGGGCAACAGCAAGTTTGGCTTCGTGTTGACAGTTCCCATCTTTCAGACCAGCCACCCTCTTAGGGGTCTGTGATGGGGTTGGGCTGAGAGCACCCCCAGCATCACTCCATGTCAGTTCATCTCCTAGCGAAACCCTGGGGGAGTTTGGAAGCAGGCTGCAGTGAGCTTCCCTGTTAACACAGAGCTGCTTGGCAGTGGGAACCTGCTCAGCAAATGCTCTCCACCTCAGCTGGTCAGAGGCAGGAGCTGCTGTCCTTGGGAATCAGGGAGATGCAGCTTGAAGAGAACCAGCCCAGGGCCATGGTGAGCAGACAGAACCTGCCTCCTGTGACAAGTTGTGGGAGCATTTTGACACAGGAAAGGTTCAGCTTTAGCTAAGCTGGATCTGCACCCAGGCATCAGAAGGTGGTGAAAAGCATTCCAGTTTTAGAGCTGTGCCAGCTTCCAACTCCATTAAGCAAATCCCTGCCCTGCCATGGCACAGGCAGGCACAGCACCTTACCTCCCCCTTCTCCTGCCACGGGAGAAGTGTTAGAATGGTGTGAACATCTTGTTCCCACACCAGGGTCCAGAAGTCCTCTATGGTCAACTTGTCAGGCCCCTGGACAGCCAGATACTCCCTGCTGGAGCTGCAGCCCTGGGTGGGGGGGAATGGGAACATCACTCTCCTGCTGGAGAGGGTGGCACAGGCACCCCATCAGCACAGGCAGCTACGGGAGAGGCCAAGAAAAGAAGGGGAGCTCTGTGGGTCAGGAGGCAACAAGAGGTGGCGAAGCACCAGGGGAGGGAGCAAGGACAGCCCAAACTGGGCAGGTGAGCGAAGACATGTCCTCAGTCCCCTCTTGTCCACACAGGATCACAGTGACCAGTGGAGCCGTGCAGGGACATGAGGAAGGGAGACCCAGGCACAGGGGTGGGCACTGCTGCTGGGGGCACAACTCACCGGGACGTGCCACACCTGCAGGAGACCTGAGAAAGGGCCCTGTTCCAGCAGGGAAAACTTCACTCTGGAGCGATCATCTGCAAAACATGTGGAGGAGGAGGGACCAGGGCAGCCTTGTGCCCACAGACTCTGCACAGCCACACAAATCCAACCCCACACCCACTATTTCTCTGCAAAGGTGCTCCCTTTGCAGCTCATGGATGTTCGTCCCAAAAGACAGGTATCGATCCCAAACTCCTGCTCAAAGCAGAGATGTATAGTGCAGGTAACTCAGTGTATAAGCCAATGGAGAGCTGCACATCTCCAAGGATGGAGAGCCTGCAGATGCCCTGTTCCAGTGTCTGGCCACCTTTGTGGGATTAGTTTTCCTTCATATTGAGTTAGATTTACCCTTCCTAATCATCCCCATTGCCTCTTGTCCTTCCACAGTGCACTTCTAAGAAGACTCTACATTTTCCTCTGTGCCCTCTCAGCAGGTAGTTTAAGATGGCACCAAGATTTCCCCCTTGCCTTCTCTCCTCCAGGCTGGACAACCCCACCTATCTCAGTGCCATACATCACATGTTCCATCCCCAAAACAACCTTGGTAGCCTTCTGGTGGCCTCAGTGCAGCGGTGTCCAAGTGTTTGCTTGTATTGTGGAGCACCAGCCCTGGTCCAGCCTGACTCCATACAGGTACAGGAAAGAAAGGATGCTCGGTGTCAGCACTTACATGGGAGGATGCTGGAAGAGGGCCGTGCCTGCTGGTTGCCTGAAGATGGTGTTGCAGAGCTGGCTTCTTCCTTGATAACCTCTAGGAGGTTCTGCCAGCGTGAAAGTGGAGGAAGAAGTGAGCAGGGAAGGATGAGGAGGAGCTGGGGGCTCCAGGGCTCAGCAGAGGGGAGGTTATGGCTGCACAAGCAGAAGCGTTAGCAGGGGTGCAGCGTGGCCACCTCTGGGTGGGCTGCCAGCTCTGCTCACCCTGAGCAGTGCAGGGTGCGGGAGGGAGCTCAGTGTGTGGGGATACAGGTAGGACAGCCAGGCACGTGGAACAGGGGCATGGGACCCACTCAGGACGCACTCACTGGGTGTCCCCCCAGCCTGAGCAGTGGAATCGCTGCCCAGGTCTCCCCAGTGCCTGTGGCCACCCTGCTCAGGGCAGCTCTCACCTCATACTCTCTCAGGAAGCCCACGTGGGACTTGGCTGCCTTCTGAGCATAGTGCTGAGCAAAGCTTTTCAGAGGGATGGGGCAGGACCTGGGGAGAGAAACTGGGTGTAAGGGTGAGGCTTAAACAAACTCAGCAGCATCCAGGCTGTGTCTGCAGCAGGTTTTCACCCCTCAAACGCTGGGGTCCTTGCAGGTCTTTCATGTGTCACAACCACGGGCCCATTCCTAACATACAGCAAGGACAAGGGATGGAGGAGACAATTTAACCCTAAAGATAGATATGTGACCCCCAGTGATGCACACCCAGTTCTGGGGTGAGCTCCTCATGCTGCAGGGAACAACCAGCCCTGGGCTGACCCCCTCAGAATACCAGGGGAGACAACTGACTGGGCTTCCCTGTCCCGGAGCCAAGGCTCAAGCTGAGGTCAGATTCCCAGCTTGCCACCTACGGAGCTGTGGATAGACCATCAGACAAAACACAGCAGGCTCTTACCTCTCTGTCCCTGATAAACCCAGGAGTGGCTCCTCCAGGATCTTCTCCAGGATACAGCTGTGCAGGAAGATGTACTGGGACTGGAAGACAAAGGCAGAAAGCAGTGCAGAGCACTGTAGCACACAGAATATGACAGGGTGGTTATGACACTGCCTGGTGGGCAGAGGATGTCCTACATTCATGTCCAAAAGGCTCTGCCTACTTCAATCTCAAAGCCACTGGATTCCTCCACTGGGTCTGTTTGTCCTGAAGGGTGGTACTAACACTTCCTCCCAACCCTGAGCACTAGAAATAGTAGACGGGCTGGGGAGCATCACAGGGCAACAACACAGTGAGGGTTAAGAATTGCCTGCAAAGGGTCTGATCCTGTTCCCAGGGGATCAGATCCCAGGGGATCAGATCCCTGACACAGCATCAGGCTGGGGACCAGCCTGGGGGTGCCTGGGCTGTGCAGCCAGCTCCTCTATCCCTGCTGCTGGGTTTACACCATGGAGCAAGGGGCCTGGAGGAAGAGGGATCAGTCTTACCAGCGTCTGAATCATCAGGTAACGGTTCATCCGCAAGGCATAAACAACACCAAACGTGTCCACCACCTTCTCCTGCTTCATCTGCTGCAGCAGCCGGTCCAGAGCAATGAAGGTGCCTGTGCGGCCCACCCCAGCACTGAGAGCACAGACAGCAAGGGTTAGACATCGCCTGATGGATTCTCCTCCTGTTAGGGAGGTTCCCAGATGCTGCACCCCAGGGCGCTGGTCCCAGCACAGCACACAGCTGAGGAGCCGTTCCGACCGCCCTGGGTTGATGCTGACCATCCCCAGTCACCCCATCCCATAGGATGTGGTGGGAGAGTAGTCTGCAACAAGACCCAAGCAGAAGACTCTTTACAGACCAGCCGAGGTCTCCTGGGTGCTGCTTTCCCTCCCGGTCCGTATCCCTTGTCCCACACGCTCTCTCCCATCACTCCCTCCTGCCGTCCCCAGAGCAGAACCTCACCTGCAGTGCACAAGGGTCGGCCCCGCATCCTTGGTGCTCTGGATATGTTCCCGAACCAGCTCTCTGAAGGTCATAATGGAAGTCGTGGACTCTGGGATCCCGTGGTCGGGCCATGCCGTGTAGTGCAGGTGGGACACGTGCCGCTCTGCCTGAAGACCCTCCTGCCAGGGGGTGGTGATGGTCTGTGTGCAGCCCACCAGGGCAGGGACATGCGCTGGGAGCACCTAGTGCCAGCTCTGCTGCTCTGCCTGTGGATCCTGCTCCTCTGTCCTCCCGCACAGCCCCCTGCCATGGGGAGGCACATGGAGGTGGTAGGAGGAGACCTGCCCTAGACTACCAGGGAACATGCCCTTGCAGCTGCAGGCTGTGTCTGAGTGCAGGGATGTGGAAAGGAGAGAGCCAAGGGTGGGCTCAGGGATGATGTATGTTGGATGCTTCTGTGTTACCAAGTCTCAAGGGACTGGGTTGTCTTTGAACCCCACTAATGGCAAGGAAAGAAAACTATGCCACCACCACCACTGAGAAATGCCACCACATCTCATGCGAAGCCCCAGCCCTGGACAGCTCCCCAGGTCCTCTTGGGTCCTTACTCACGTGCCACAGCCTGAACTTGCGCATGGTCCACTCCTCGGAGCTGCTCTGCGTCAGCAGGTGGATCCGGACCTGCCCGTAGGAGACTGGGGCAGATTCGGATGGCCAGTAATGATCACAGAGGACCTAGAGGACAGGCAGGACAGGGTCCTAGTGAGGGCCCAGGTCCCACTGGGTGACATCCTGGCTCCCTGGGAGCATCTGGAGAGCAGCAGCTGTGCAGGGAACCAGGGCAGTTCTCGGAAGCAGGCAGAGGTGCCCTTTGCACGCCATTCCCACACGTCCCCTTCATTTGGATCTCAGCCTCCTCCAGAGAAAAGGACTTGTTTGGGTCTTATTATCCCTGGAGACTAGAACAGCCCATGTGAGGTGTCTTATCCACGGGCAAGTGGTCATTCCAGATACTGCAGAACTACCTGGGGGTGATGGGCATGGTTCCACCTAAGCTCCACTTCTGCCCCTTCCTACCCCAAGCTAATGCTGAGCTGCACACATCAGCCTCTGTTTCCCCTCGCAGACTGCCTGTCAGGGAAGCTGTGTGGTCCCTGCTCACCCTGAAGCCACATCTGAACAGGGGTTGGTGGAGGGCACAAACCGAGCCCTGGGCTTGGCTCACACGACGAGGTCTGGTCTTGGCTGGGGCTGGCACATGGAAGCCCAGTGGTGCTGACCTACCCGCCCGTTCTCCATGCACACTGTCAGCATGATGATGTTGCAGACGTTCTGCTCCCACACCAGCCTCCAGAAGTCCTCTATCGTTTTCTTCAGGGGCCCCTGGGTGGCAATGAACTCCTGCTGGGATGTATAGCCCTGTGCAAGAGGCAGACAGGAGGAGTTGGCAAGTTGTGGAGGCAGGTGGGTCCCTGCCCTGGGATGGAATCAGTGCCTGGTCTGCTCTTGTGGCAGAGGGAGAAATGCCCATTGCCCTTAGCACATGCAGGCAGAATTCCCAGGAAGCTGACTCAGCAGCAGCTGATGTTACAGGAAGCATGTGCTGCCCAGCACACGCTCTCCACGTATCTGGAATAAAGATGTGACCCCTGCTGTTTCCCTCCAAGCAGCCCCTCCTTCAGCCTAACCAGGGAAAGGCAGGTCTGGCTCTTTCTTGTGCTCCGCAGTCATTGCTGGAGGTGGGGTGAGCATGCAAGGTCTCAGGCTGCTTCTTTGCCCCCTGACACACACATGCCCCATGGATCCACGCTCCCGCGCGCACATGCTGCGTGTCCTGCCTGTTACCTGGGCAAACCTCCCGGATGGGGGATGTGGGCACAGCTCCAGGGTCGTTCAAATGCAGCTGCACAGAGCAGAAGGAGAAAGAGCAGGCAGACAGATGGGACAGTAAGCTGGGAGATGATGGGAAGAGGGTAGTCCTCAAGAAGAAAGCAGAAAGCCTAACACCAGGCTCCCCGTACTCACAGCTCAGCACTTGCCATCTGAGTCTGCATCAACCCCTGCTAAAGGGCAGCTGTGCATCTCTGCCTGACCCCCAGCTCCTTGCCAGTCTGTGCCAGATGTGGCTTCAGTGGCAGCTCTTTCCCACCAGCCCTCAACCTCAATCCAGGAAGAGTTTCTCTGGTGGTGCCCCGTGGCCATCTCTCTGTGGGGAAGGCAAGTGGGCACTCACAGGCATGAAGTTAGCATTGATGTAGTCCGAGTGTGGATCTTCCCCCACTTGGCTCAGCTTGACCCGGGAGTGATCATCTGAAAGAGACCATTCACCCGTGGCACCCCCAATGCATCCCTCAAGAACTGGGCATCTCCTCTTCTCTTGGGAAAAGCCCAATGCCAGGAGAGGAGCCTGGCATGTGAACCCTGCAGCAATGCAAGGAGAGCCAATCCTTGGGCATTGCATGTGAATTCCCACCCTGGATGCTGGGGGGAGGAGAGGGGGGACAGCACTTACAGGGCAGCACATGGGGATATCTGTTCTTGGAGACATTTGCTGGGAGCTCGGCTTCCACCTTTGGCTGCTCCTTCCCAACTTCCTTCAGCTCCTGTAGGACAGGGGAGAAAATAAGCCCAAATGTCTCCCTGGAGAGCTCCTGCTCAAGACTAACAGCTCTGTCTGGTGGTTAAGGAGGGTCACCCACACATGGGGGACTGCTCTACTCCTCCCTCCGTATGGGCTGTGAACTCTGAGCCAAAGGTGGCTTCTGCCAGTGACTTTCCCAGCAGCACTATTTGTATTAGTCCAAGAACTAGAACTTGTTCTTGTCCAAGAACCAAGTATTGGAGAGTGGGGAAAAAACCTTCTCAGAAATCAGAAATCTAATAGGAATTTCAGAGTTTTTTGTGCTGCAAAACCAGAAGTATCTTGTGCTGCTTCTGTCCTCACTCAGAAAGCCAGAGGAGGGTTATTTGTGGAGGTTTTGAAACTGCTGATGGGACTCTCAAAGGTGCTGGCAGCAGAACAGCTCAGAACAGCTCACTGCAACACCACTCAGCATCTCCACCTCCAGTCCAGGCCCAGGACCCTCAGCTTAGTCCACCAGCAGCTACGGACAGTACTAGTTCACCTCGCATCGCAGACAACACGTGTTTCTACTATAAGGTGAAAAAAGCAGGTTTTGAGCAAACAAACTGCCTGATCACTTGGTCCATCCAACCTTTGTCCTCCAAGATTGCCTCGTAGGGTGGATGGATTGCAAGACATGGGTTACTGACCCTGGGGAGGAGGAGCCCACCCAGGCCACCCAACAGCATGAGCTACCTAGAGGGGAAATTAAGCCTCACCTCTAGCAGGGGTCTCATCTCACCTCAAACTCCTGGAAAAAAGCATGGTTAGCACTTGCTGTCTTCATCTCATAGTACTGCTTGAAGTTCTGTATGGGAATTGGCCGATGGATGTTTCTGCATGAAATGAAGTCCAGAGGAAAACTTTCCTTAGCTATTGGGAGGTCTGGCAGGCCAGTGAGGTGGCCAAGGAGACAGCCCAGCCGTGAGACCTGCAGTACCTGGATGCACACACACAGGGATGGTTTATAGCCCTCGTCATTGCCCAGGGAAGTGGGTCCAACAGAGCACTGTTTATATAGTGGGAGGGAGTTCAGGATGATGAGACTAGTTTCCTACTGCAGAAGCATTGCAGAGGAGGTGTGGACAATGCATTCACTTGGAATGGAGCTGGGCAAGAACTACTGGACATGGGAAAGCCTAAGATTTAAAAAGGAACTGAAGGAGAGGAGACAGTTGGATTTTTCTGGAGTCAAAGCAAGAGAAAGGAAGCAGGTGAAGGACTCTGGGCTGTGCGGTGGGGACACACAGAGAGGGACGACTCCATCACTCACCTCAGGCTGTAGGTCACCATTTCCTGGGGCAGGCTGCTCTTCCTGGTCCTAGAATCAAGGCATGGGAAGTGTTACTCTTCTCTGCAGTGCAGGGACAGATGTTGTGAGCGTTTTGCTGGATCACATCAGGCACATTTGTCTTATACACGTGTAGGGTCTGTGAATTAACTGCACACGGGCAGCTCCTGTCTCCCCCTTTGCCTTTTGCTTCTGGGCTTGCCAGGCACAACTCCACCAGCAGGTACCCCAGTTTGCCTGTATCTCTTTAATACCCTCTCACTGCTCTTCCTCCTGCCCTGGCACTGAAGGTTGGGTTTCTCAGCTTGCACCCACTGGGTAAGAGATGGCTCAGCCTCACCTCTTTGCTCTGAGCTGTTTCCAGTAGACCAAAGCAAAAACAGCTGCGAGCGTCAAAAGAAATCCCACGATGATTCCAGAGATTATTGGTATTGAGAGTGGAGCTGCATCCGCACCAGATCCAGCAGCTGGAATAACAAAACAAGAGAGAACAAGCAGAAGTCAATAAACAGTTGTATTTACTGTATTACATATTCTGTATCATGCTACAGCCTATGAGCTCCCTCTGGCTTGTCATTGTCAGGTTGTTAATTACCTCTAACCTACACAGCCAGGTAGGGAAGATGCCATTCTCCACCTTACCCGAGAACATGGTGAACGTCACTGCAGGGGCTACAGGGTCGTATTTGGTGAAGGCAGCAATGCTGAACCTAGGGCAAAGCAGAGACCTGTCATCAGGGCAATGTGAATCAAGCACAACACCCATCAGCACAAAGACCCAAGGGAACAGGAAGCTGCCTCTGTCTTGAAATGCTGTGTTGGAAGAAACTGGTTTTGTGGCAGGGGTTTAGGGAATGTGTGGAAATGGTCTTTCCTCCCTTTTCTGCCTCGTACACAAGGTGGTTGTGCTTGGGAGAACATGAGAGAACGTTCAGAAAGCACAAAGGGAAACAGCTCTCCTCTGATGGGTTATTTGCAGACACAAGTAGTAAGTTTCTGCTCTTCTGGGACAAAAACAGGGAAAGACAACAGTAAGTAGGGAAAAATCAAGGGTTGAGTCACTCTCTTGGTTCATGTCAAGCCATTAATTGGGTCAACTTAAAGAGCTGAGCCCAGGTAATGTTTTGACACCTCAGCTGGAAGGGCTGAGCCCAAACTCAGACTCTTTCATAAGCACAAAGTGCCTGGTGCATCCCCTACCTTGTGGAGATGTGCCCTACACCTTCCTCCGACTCAGACTCTTTCATATGCACAAAGTGCCTGGTGCATCCCCTACACCTTGTGGAGATGTGCCCTACACCTTCCTCCCAGCAGTGTGCACAGCAAGCCCCACACCTTGTGGATAAATAACTTGCTGAAAGATAGGAAACAAGGACTGCCCTTCAGCATGGAGATGGGTTGTCAGCAGTATCTGCTCCTTACCACACTACTAAGGACTGACCTGCACAGTGTACTGAGGACACATGTTGTTCAGGGCAGCCAAAATGAAAGCGAGCTGTGAAGAGGTGCAAAAGGATCTTCCAGTGCTAAGTAAATGGGCAGTTAAGTACATGTTCTTGAATCATGGCTCTGAAAAGGCTCCTGCCCTGCAGGAGTGTCATCTTTCTGAGCTCTTCTTAGAACCCCAGGCTGGTCTGGGTTGGAAAGAACCTTAAAGCTTCTCCAGTCCCAACCACCTGCCACAGGCAAGGACATCTTCCACTAGAGCAGGCTGCTCCAAGCCCCTGTGTCCAACCTGGCCTTGAACACTGCCAGGGATGGGGCAGCCACAGCTTCTCTGGGCACCCTGTGCCAGCGCCTCAGCACCCTCACAGGGAAGAGCTTCTGCCTCAGAGCTCATCTCAGTCTCCCCTCTGGCAGGTTCAAGCCATTCCCCTTGTCCTGTCCCTCCATCCCTTGTCCAAAGCCCCTCTCCAGGTTTCCTGGAGCCCCTTTAGGCACTGGAGCTGCTCTAAGGTGTCCCCTTCAGGAGCCTTCTCTTCTCCAGCTGCCCCAGCCCAGCTCTCTCAGCCTGGCTCCAGAGCAGAGCTGCTCCAGCCCTCGCAGCAGCTCCGGGGCCTCCTCTGGACTGGTCTCTAACAGAAGAGGTCAACGTTGGAGTGAAAATAGCAACTGGGAAGCAGGGAGGGCAGATCCCATGTATTTATGCTAGTGTTCAACTCCCCTTGAGGCTGCTGGTACATCTTGGTCTGAGCCAAGAGTTGTCACAGAGACCCAGCTTGTGCTCGGGCTGTCCTGTCTCATTTGTGCTGGCTGAAGCAGAAGGCTTCAGTAAGTAAGGACTGCCCTGCAGTGCTTGAGAGGGAGCTGGGCAGGAGCCTTTAGCAGCAATAAATAGCTGGGCTGGGTGGACAATCCATCTCACAAAAGAAAAACTTAAGGGCATATCCAATTCTCACTTCATTCCCAGGGGAAGTGAAGCTCTCCCTCAGGCACACACACTTTCTTACTGTCTTTCCTTTCCCCAACACTCTCAGCAACTTCTAGCTCTAGTCGACTTCTAGCTCTAGTCGACTTCTAGCTCTAGTCGACTTCTAGCTCTAGTCAGCCACTCTTGCTCTAAGTTTATTTCACTTGAAATGGGACAACCTTCCAGACTCTGGGGGATCACTTTGTCAGAGATACGGAGCTTGGGATATGGTCGCTCTTTGATGAACTGTGAGCTGCTAAATTAACAGAGGGCTGGCTAAAGATACCGTTCTTTATTTGTAGTGGAAAACCTGTTTCGCCATCAACTGTTTGAAAGGTACCCTATAACAAAATATGTGTGTGTCTCCTGGGGAACTTGGACCTTCGCCTGTGCGCTTGCTACCCTCAACTTTTGAGCTCCCAACTGTGCAGGCACCACTTGAACTAATGTTTCCAAATCAATTGCATTTTTGCACTCAAAGTCTACGCGTGGTTCTGAGCCACAAATAACAACATCCATTTTAGTTCTTCCCCTGGAAGAACAACTGCTCCCAAGGCAACACAAACAGCCCTTGTCACCTTTCACATCTGCTCTCCCTGCTGTCTCACACTCTCTGGTATGCCAGCCCTTGCATCCCTCAAACACTTCTTGGTGGAGCAAGGCACTGCTGGGGGTCTGGGGAGCACGAGGTGAGGTGACACCTTGCAGGGACACCTTTTCCCTGCCAGCCCCTGCAGGAGGGCTGCTGACACCTCTCACCTGTACTGTTCATTGGCTTTCAGCTTCCCATTGCATGTTGCCCTGGACCGGCCGCACTCGTCTGTTCCCACTGGCACTCGCCAGGTTTCCGGGGAGCTCCCGGGGCTCGGATGGAAGGGGTTGGGGATTAGCACAGCCAGGTAGGAGTCTTCAGTCCCATAATAGTGGTCATACCATGTGCTGGACATGATTTCCTGGGTGGGCCTCAGCACTGAGGGGGAACGTACAGGATGACAGTGTTAGTTCCAAAGTGACACCCAGGGGACCTGCTGCCCTCCAGGGCAGCCTGGGATGTGCAGGGGCACTTACACGAGTCATTAGTGGTAGCAATGACACCGTAATACTCGATCTGTCCATTCTCCTCACTGAACAGGTCAGATGAAATGATAACTGTGGAGCTGGCCTCCACCCGGAACACGTCTGCTCGCAGGGGTGGAGGCAGGGCTGGAAGGGGAACCAGAAAAGCACAGCCTTTTAATGTGTCCCCTGCTCCCACCCACATATTGCTCAGCCCGTGACTAATCCCAGCATGACTGCCCAGAGCCCTGACCCACTGCAGTGGGTCACAGGTATCCGAAAGAGTCCCCGGGTGTCTAATTAGCAACACTGGGTGTCTTCTCCTGGCGTCTGTGGCAAGGCTGTGGGAAAGAAGGGGACTCACCCTCCACTGTTGTGTTGCAGAACAGAGTAACAGCCTGGCTCCTCATCATGTTCATGCCCACTGTGCTCACAACGATTCGGTAGGAAGAGTTTGGCTCTAGCCCCTCCAGACTGGCCTTGCTTGTAGGGATGCTCATGACATACTTGGAGGTGGGAGGTCCATCAGGAAGTCTCTCTGTCACCACCTCGTAAGCCTCCACGTCTCCAGGAGAGCTGCTCCAGTTCAAGTAAAGGCTCCTTGACTCCGGTAGGCATTGCACATCCTCCACCGGGATTGGCTCTGTGGAGGAGATACAGCAGGCTCTGATCTCACTGGATCAGAGAAATCCCAGCCTCAGTCCATCCAGAATCGCTATGGTCCTCTACTGCCTGTCCCTAGGTCAATGAGAAAGGAGCAGAGCTGGACATCTGTGACCTAGGAGCCTTTTGTGCCAAGGGCCCCAGGATAAGGTGAAAGGGTCAGGGTCTGAGCGGATGGCTTATAGGAGCTCTCTGCAGAGTCCAACTTGCTTCACAGGCGGCCAGTCCACAAGGTGATGGGAAATCCCTGTGTTGGGGCTAGCTTAGGGAGCTGATGGCTACCAGAGCATCACCCAGGTGCCTTTCCTCACCTCCCACCACAGAGACTTCCCATGCTCCTGCTGATACCCAAGGGCTGATCCAGTCCCGAGGCCACGCAGGCGTTTCTCCCCCCATCCCCACGGCAGCGCATACCCACCCATCGGCACCGGCAATGGCTTGGTGCTGCTCCAGTAGGGCCCGGCCACACAGCTCAAGGACACAGAGTAGTTCCTCCCTGGGATGAGCCCCTGGAGGAGGTGCTGGCCCTGTCCTCGTCGGAGGACATGCCTCCAGGGCACTGTGCTGTTCCTGGGATCCCGCAGCCACAGCTGGCACTCATCCTGCTGCCCAGAGACACTGCCCCAGGAGATGAGCATCGTGTGGTTCCCTTGTGTCACCGCGGAGAGCTTTTTGGGAACTGAGGGGGCTGCAATGAAAACCACACCAGGGGAGAGTTACTGGCATGTGTGTACCCTCTTCCACCCTGTGGAGATACAAGGAGAAGATGGGTTATATACAAGGAAGCTTCGGATGCTCAGTGGTACCACTTCTGCAGCTGCTGGCTGCCACTACCAGAAATGACCTTTAAATGGCAATGGGAGGACATGCAGAGTGAGGAGCAGGAGGAGATGGGTTCACCCCTCTTGCTAATTACCATGTTTCATTAGAGACCTGCCTGAAGGGCTCTGCTCGTGACGCCCAGCACTCTGCCAGAGGCTGGCTGAGCATGGGAGCAGAGGATTACCCAAGCAAAGTGCAGGGGCTGTGGGGACAAGCACATGAAAAGGCTTATTATGCTTATCTGCAATTTTCACATTCCTGAAAAAAAAAAAGTCCAAGAGATGCCCAGCCCCTTTCATCTCCCATGCCAGCAATTCCCCGAGTGCCTGGGAAAAAGGCAGCAGGGATGGTGGGATGTCCCCCCCTGGCTGTACGGCCTCATGGTCTCCCAGGCTGTGGGTGTCCACTGCCATGGGATCCCATGCCTGGAGGAGCCAGCTTGTGTGAGCAGCAGGGCCACGAGCTGGAGGTCTGCCTCCTGGAACAGCAACCACGGCTGTTTCATGGTTATGAGCAGCAGCACTGCCCTGCTCTCCCCTCCACTGAGGGCTCCACAACCCCTTATCCCATTGCTGTGGTGGTTCCTACAGCTTTCAGGCTGCAGTTCTGGCCATGACCCTGCCCCTTCCCACCGCAGGCTTCGAGTCCACCTTGCCAGGGAAGGCTGAGCCTCATGCATGATGCAAAGACCTCTTGTCACTTACTTGTCCAGTCGCTGATGTTCCCCGCGGAGGCTGCGTAGGGCCCCGACACGGACACCACTTCCAGCAGGTATTTGTGTCCTGGAGCCAGGCCAGAAAAGGTGAATTTGCTGGTGCCTTTCCCAACGGATACATTGGCCGCCACAAGACCTGACCCCCAGTGATACAGGAGGAGCCTGTAACTGTCTTGTCCTTGGGGTTCAGCTTGCCAGGATGCACTCAGCCTGTTGGTATACCCCTGGTTCGTCATGTGCACGTTACGGGGGGCCAAGGGGTCTGGAGAGACAGGATGGGAGACACGTCAGTGAAAGGTCTGAGGACGTTGCCGCGGTATCTCAGCAGCGTCAGCAGTTCAGGGCGCTTCGTCTCAGCCTTTTGCAAGCTCCAAGCGATGTCTGTCTGAGCAGATAGCCCTGCTCCAGCTGGAGTGAGATGGGTAAGAAGGGAGCACTCATCCAGCTAGAGAGGAGGGGAAGCTGAATGCCCCTGTCCACTGCTCCCTCCTCC